GGGGGGGTGGGCGAGAGGCATCGGAATGCCGGCCGTGGTGACGGCGAAGGGCTGGGGGTGCGGGGCGAGGGCCCGGCCAGCGCCGGCTGGGTCTCGGAGGACTCGCTTTGCGCCACCTCGGCTCTCGGGAGGGACACAAACGCAGAAGAATTGGTCAGTGGGTCAGAGACCCGCTGAGCGTCGGCGGAGGGAACGGCGGGGCTCTCGGTCGGCTCCAGGGCCCGTCAAGTGTGGAGACGCTCGCGTCTTCTTCCTCCGTGCTCCCGGCACAAAATGGCCGCCGCCGCCCCAACCCGCTTCACTTACGTTACGGGCGCCCCGGCGCTGCGCAAACTGCGGCTCCCGAAAATGCCTACGCTTATTCCCGGAAGCCAACTACGTCGTACGCGCTCATGGCGAAACGCTGCTTCGAACGGAGAGCGAGATACGAAAGTTGCGTAGCGTTCTATACTTCAGCTGCCCCAGCGCGAGGCGGGGAGGAAAGAGAGTATCGCTCTTCTTATTCCTCAAAGTCTGCTACGCAAGGAGCCTATAGCGTAACCCCTTCTAGAGGGTAGGGAAAAGCTAAGCCGAGGCGTACGTTACGTAAGCGCACGGCGTACGCAGCTTGCGTAACTTAGGCTGACGTAGAGCAGGAAGAGCCCGACCGTTTTGCGTAAAATTCTTCCGCGGGCTGTGCGGGAAGGGCTGGCGGAAGGTCGGAGGATTACGCTAATCGTGCAGCGTAGCGGCGCTTAGAGAATACGGCCGTTCGGCCAGGCGCCGGCTGCCCCCGTGGAGGAGACAACAACGGCGCTGGTGGGGCGGCGGGGCCCGGCCCAGCAGCGGCTGCTGTGGGCTGCGCGGGTTCGGTGGGCCCGGGGCTCCCTTGCAGGTTGCCTGGGGGTTGTGGGCTCAGCGCCCTGGCAGCAACGGGAGGGACAGCAGCCATGATGTCTGCTTTCTCCTGGCTGGGAGAAAATGGCTCGATGTACCCCAAACGGGTTTTAAAAGGTTGGGTCGCATCTGGCTTATTTGTCCCGTGGGAAATGAGTGAGAGTAGGGCTGGATGAAAGCATCCAAACACGGGTCAAATGCTGTTCTGATTTTACATCTTTATTACTGTGTAAACCTGAGGTCATTCTCTCCAAAAAGTAAAAGTGCATTAATAAATAATCTGGTCAACATGAAAGTATTTCAGGTCATTTTTAATTTTCCATCCTTTTGCACGTGAAACTCCACAAAATTCCTGGGCTCTTGCTCCTGCCATTGCCGTTTCCATCAGCTATTTATTGTCAATTGAAAAGAGAAGACCCAAAACAAACCAACTTCTGTTAAGATGAATAACACTGAAGCACGCAGTTTATCCCAAATCCTCTCAAATTGTTCCAAGAAGATAAAAATGCAGTCGGGGAGACAGCAACCTTGCACAAATCTTCCTCCCAACTAACTGCCTTGGTGGTTATCAGCTGTACGTTTGCATGTACAGCTGATGTACATGAGTTTTCTGCCTATTCTTTGGCATCTCCAATCCCTCCAGGAGTTATTGCAAATGTGGCTTCGTTTTCAGGCATCTCAGGACTGGAAAAAAAAGAAAGCCATGAGTGTTAAATGTAGTTATGGAACGGTCTCTCAAAGGTTTTAAGTAAAAGCAACGTGGAATATTTTAACATCCTTATAAGATGTGATGTTATCAAGATGAGAAAACGTGAAACCCACCTCTGTGAAGATGAGAAACATGAGTGAGGGGAAAGGAGGAAGTGTGGGAGAAGAGAAGACTGTGCAAACTTGTCTTCCACGTTTCAGATCCTGCTGACCAGGGAGCACTGGTCTCTCCACACAATTCTGCTAATATGTTTTTTAATACCTGCGTCTGCCCCAGCTCAGCGTGTAAATTGATACCCACTGAGGTCAGCAAAACTGAGTGATTTAACAGCTCTGGAATGTTCCTGCCAAGGGACAACCATGGCTCTGGGCAGCCTGGTCTGGTGGTTGGTGACCCTGCACATAGCAGGGGGTTTGAAATTAGCTGATCATTGGGGTCCTTTTCAACCCAGGCCGTTCTATGATTCTGTGATTCTATGATTCAATAGTCTTCTTGGAGAGATGAACATCTAGCAGGATTTATGAGGAAAGGTTACATAATGTAATACATACGATATGCAAGACAGCTTGGAATCTACTAATCTAAATCTCCCAATCGCTCTGTCCTTTCAGATTTCCTCTCAACATACCATCCAGATGCATGGTTCATTTGAAACCACCAATCAGTTCACAAGCTATTAAGTTTCGGTGCAATGAACTCTGACACCCTACTGTGTTCATAAAGCAGCTTCTTTCCTGCGAAAGGACAGACATTTACCTGTCGTATATCTTTGCAATACGCAGCTCCCCTCTCCCTTTCCTCAAACTAATTCGGGTAGTTGAAGCATGAGCAAGGATGTGGCCCCCAACGGGCTTCTTTGGGTCTGCCTGAAAGCTAAATCAGCAACAAAAAAAAAGAAGATGATGATTCACCATGCAATTTCCAGAGGCTAATAGATTAACTGTCAGGCAACGCACAGTGAAGTCAGTATTGAATGATAAACAGGTAAAATTCAAAAGAGGATCTAAGCACACCTGCCTCAAGATAGGATGCTCAATGCTCAACGTCCTCTCATCAAATTCAAGAGGTTCAAGAATGTAAACCCTACACAACGTGTATACGCTGCTTTAAGAGACAATTAGGGGTTTTCTTCAATAGTTGTTATGTTTCGTTCTGTTCACTCAAGACATAGTGAAAGAAATCATCCTGCCAGCCAGGAAAAAGAGATCATTTTAAAAAATGATCACAAACTGAGAGAAACCTATAGGTGTCATCTGTGAATGACTTGTGATACCAGAAAGACCAAAGGACAGCCTGAAATAGTTAGAACGTGAGGAGCGTGCCCTCACGTCAATGCCTCTTGCTCAGTCTCAGTTCTCATCTCTGTTAAATATGTAACCAAATATGTAACCAAAGATTAGAAGTGCAGCAGTGAGTATCGTACGTCATAGTTGCTCCTGGATCAGCGGTCATCTGATTGGTCACAAACACAGCCACGTTATATTCTGCAATGGAAAACAATGCAAAGAAGATGAACTGTATCCAATTAGATTTCAAAAATATCCTCATGTTCAGGGTAAGATCAAGGTTGTTACTGAGGCGCTTCAAATTTCAAAGGAAAGAGAAGCAAATGTTCCTTATGCCTGCTGGCTGGGTTTAACAGGAAGACAGCCTCACTTTGCTCTTGTGTCAGCTGTAATATTTATGCCAAAAATGAGCACTTTTCAGAGTTCTGCTGAAGAAGCCTTTCTCATCACCCATCTTCTCCATGGGCTCCATGCCCTAGGCCTCTTCTCCCTCCCTCTGAGTGTTCCCCTTTTTTTTGATATTTACTCCATAAACACATTTACTCATTCTTTATCCATGTTTCTGAGTCATTCCAAACAAGGAAGACTCCTGTTCATTCCATCCTCATCCCTCAGAGCATTGTGCAGCAATTAGAAGGAGGCAGTGAAAACAGCCTTCTCCTCTCCCTGTACCTTCTCCATTTTTATCCTGTTCTCCACGTTTCTTGTGTATTTAGACTGTAGAAGCTGGGGGAAGGCTGGAAATTTGTCCAGTTCCAAAACCTGTCCTCCTGTTTAGGACTTGTCAACAGTGATTCTGGGAGAATTCTAAATGTTAAATTATTCCCTTATCCGTCACCTTGAAATAATATACTTCTGTTTCTTTTTGGTAACTGACAGAAGCATAAAGTGAGCAAGGATCCCCGGGCCAGTACCTGATTTGATAATACACTCAGTGTATTATACCTAATTTAATAATACACTTAGTGGTCATGCCACCAACAATTGCTGTTTTAATACTGGATTCAATAACACCAATCCACGTTGCCCACATTTTGCAATGTTTCCTTTACCTTCTGATATTTTTTGGAGCCTGGACAGCATCTGAGCGAGTTTCTGTTGTCGTTCAGCCAGCTCTCCACGACCACTGAAATCCACACGGAAGAGTGCCATGATGGAGTCAATGATCTGTATTGTAATTGCATTGGAGAAGTCAATACAGTGAAAAACAACAACAACAACAAACTATTCTGAAAGCAGCAAGTGTATGAAAAATAACAATTAGTCTTGTACCAGTAGCTTGAAGATACCAGCTTCCTCGTGGAACTTGGCTGCTACATAGTCAAGCAATTCCATCTGATGTTCACCTGATGGGAAGTAGAGCTGACAAATCAAATTAGGGCCAGAAAGAACTCTGAAGGAAAAAAAAACCCTGAATTTTGAAATTCCACTTTAAATGCTTGCATTCTTTGTATTTTCACCACCAGCATTTTAAGTCCAGTGCCCGTTAACAAGCTACTTCTCCAGTACCCAATAGTGCTGATGTTTCTGCAGGTTCCAGTTTCCACTTGCCCAGCCAACAACACTTCTTTGTGAAGAGCTCCACAAAAAAGTCTTGTTTTGAGAATCGAAAACCAGCAGAATTGTTTGAAATGAACATTGAATTAAATGACACAAAGAAATTGTACAGCCATATTATTTATGTTCGTGTAAAAGTCCCATTTACTTGAAGTATTAATGCAGTGTCTTCTGTCAGAGTGCATGAAACTGTTTCTGTGAAGGTCCATTCACAAAATTACAGAGAATTATCGACTGCATTTATAGAGTTAGCTTACATTCAGACATTCACTGTTGCTTCTGTTACTAAGATGGTACACTGACAACTGTAATACACACGGTGGAATTGTTGCAGCATACTGCAGAACCTTGCATAGTACAGCTGGGCTGGAATGCTTACCCTGAGCTAGTCTACTAGAGTACACCACTAGAAAAAGAAAATAGGAGCTAGCTTGTAACATTTTTGTTAGCAACAAAATGTAATTTACTCTCCTTAAGCGGGCTGGTGTCACTTAAGTAACTGAAAACTATTAACACAGAAGCCTTGGAGAAAAATCATAGTTATCATAGCAGTTGCAGTGAGGGTCTCACTCGTGTATGCACGTGCATACAGCACGTTGTCAAGGACTGCGTCGTGGTCAACGTTGAAACGGTCAGCAATGTCACGGAGACGGTCTGGTCGGCTGACATCAGGCAGAGTTAAGGATTTCTCTGTGTACAAACCATGCTCTTAGATAAATTTATTTTGAGGTAAAGAGAAATACATCACCTATCATCTATGGTTACATCTATCCTCTGCCTATCTGTTTATTTATTCACTGCTTTCTAAAATGTGACACCACTAAGAAAGCATGTTAAATCCCAGGGAAGTACTTAAAAGTAAATCTGTATTCTGACTAACTTTTCCAGCTTGGATTAGATAAAATGACAGAGGAAAAGCCACTGCCCTGTGGGCACTACACGCTGTGCTCTCCAAGTTTTCTGTGCCCATCATATTGTTTCCCATGCGTGAAGCCATCTGGAGCCTGCTACTTGCTTGAAATTAGAACAAAATGAACTGTCTTTCCAGTTCAAGGTACCTGTAGCTTTCAGAAACCCAAAAGATACAAAGTGTTTTCAGTATCAATGAAGATAATCTTTCCACCCGTGTAGCCGTCGGGCCCCGGCAGCTGAGCTGTCACTGGAATGAATCAGAGTAAAATGAATAGCTGGAAAAAATATTTTCTCACACTATTATTTTTAATAAAATATGATGGCTGTTTACCTGTGTCACAGAGAGCCACTGGTTTTAATCATTGTGGAAATCACTAGTTTAGCCTCTTTAAAGTGAATAAGCTAAAATACTCAATCCATTCAGTTGTGATCATTCGGGCAAAATAACTCTGCTGACTAACTTAGGTTGCACTGAATGGAAGAGTCTCCATTTTTCCAGCAGGCTCCACAATTCCCTTTATGCCACGGTGTCCAGTTAAGTGAATGTTTGTCCACCTGGTGTCCTGTAAGTGTATTCTAGGAGTGTAATGGTTACAGTAGTTATTACTGACTGCTATCTACACGTTGTGAGATAGTGCTGTGGAATGGGAGTCCTGGCACTGCCAAAGTCTTTGTTTAACCAGTTCATGTTAGCCAGTGGTATCCTGTCAGTGTCCTTTCAGAATGTCATTGTCAGCAAAACTTCTCGAACCCAGGAAATTAAAAGCTGACAAAGAATCTTGCCTTTGCAAGAGCAATGGTCCTGTCCCCCTTGTGACTCCTATTTGTGCTTTGCTTTTCCAGGTAATGTGTGTTTCTCCCTAAGATGGCTTATGGTCTTCTCTCTCCTTCTGGCAACACTTAAATTGATGTGAGCAGTATTAATAAATAATTATCTATGTGAGTTCTGTATTCAAACACATCTATTAGAAAGAGTCACCACGTTTTTTTCACTATATTTCTAGAGATAGAATATTCTGACTTGCTTTTATGTGTTGAATTTTTACACTGTCATAAAGAAAAAAACCCAGCACTCCCTGTTTTAAGGTAGCACACTTACCACAAAGGGTATGAGACAGCTGTGTTTTGCCTGTCCGAAACTCTGTTAAATAAAGGAAAAAAAAAAGTCACTTTCTACTTTTTTTTTGTCTTTTCTTCCAAGTTTGCCAAATTCTGTTACTGCAAAAATTCACCTCTGTTTCTCTATTTGCACATTTAAATCCTGATATATAAATCACATTATGTGCAGTAGAAATACCTTGGATGAAAAGCAAAATGTGAAATGCTTTCATCTGGTCTTGCTTGACTGCTGTGTTTATTTCTACTTTTCTGTAGAAGTTAAGTACCACAAGGCATGGATGGGAAATTAGTAACTGAGGAAGGAGGAAAAATGAGTGGTTGGGTTCCACTTTGACCCCCCAGAACAGGATCAGGCCCAGTTGTATTTTCAACTAAATGATCAAGAAGTTTTTTAATCTCATGACATCAAATCACACAGGTCTCCAATTTATCTCCTCCAAAGAGCAGATTACTGCGTTTTCCACACGCTTGTTACTGTTTTTGAAGTGTTAACCACTAACTGATGGAATTCACTCTAACAACTGATTGCAAAATCTTGTATGGAATTCAATGCATGCCAAGTGTACATAAATAGAATATCTTTTGTGCCATTACTGAAGAGGAACAGAGATTGCATCAGGGAAATCTTTTCTATAACAGGAAATAGTTACTAGCAGTATTAATAATGGTATGTCATTCTGAATCAGCATGCCCCTCAAGTCTAGTGATTACTCAGCTCAAACTTAGTCTGCAAGCAATTCAGCATGAAAAAAGGGAAAAAATGTATGAATTATTTCTTCTTCCACTCATGCAAGTACTCATCTTTGACTACGGTGTGATGTTTCACAGAAGTGATCCAGCTTGATTTAAAACCTAAACTATTCTTTGTCTGTTTGATAATACTCATTTAATGTAGTTTTCTCACCTCCAAAGGCCTCAGTGATTGCCATGCTTTCAATCCCACCACCTAGAAGTTTGCTGCAGAAAGGCAGACAATTATGATATAGTTAAAGCCACAACATCACAAGAGGAAATGAAAAAAGAGAATTTTTTTCTACTTCAAGACTTGTTATATTTGTCCTATAGCACGGCACTAAATGACCACTGAGTGATAAAATATTAAATCAATCCTCCTTACTGCATGTGAGAGAAAAACGTATAGAAATGATTACTGGAAGAGAGAAGATAGAAAGCATCTCTAAGACATAAAGTTCCACACAAGTATTTCAAGGGAAGACAAGGGAAGACTTAGACTTAACGATTTTGACTGTAGACCTTCAGGTTGTTTATTTAATGGGGTGAAAAAAGGGTGATCAGGATCATCAAATGATGGTCAAGATTTCTGTGAATAAACAGTTTTGCAAACTGTTTATTCACAATGACTGCCTGGTTTCCCTCAGAAAAGGAGTTGGTTTTGTTGCTTACAGAGTCAGGCATCTCTGAGCACCAGCTCTAAATGCAAAATAACCTACATGTCCTAACTGATTTTTTGTTCTTTTATATTTTTGTTTCTCATTCAAGACAATAAATATAATCAGAACAGGTTGTGCTAAGGCAGGGGAAAAGTAGATGTAAGCTTACTCAAATTCCTGGCTGCCAGTAGTAATATGAAATACCATCTTCCGTTTTTGACTGTACTCAAATGCAGTTAGGAAGCCTGGCTCCTAAGGAAGACCAAAGAGAACGTGAGAGGTTTATTCTGGTGAGCTTCAAGCTGAAGGCAGAGCGCGATATCCCACCCGGATAGCTTCTGTCTACCACAGCCTCATTTACACACATTGGGTATGAAAAGCACCACAACATTCGTCTGGCTGCTGCAAAATATAAAGAACATAAAGAATAGCGAGCCGGATTGTTTTCAAAATTATCTTGATGATGTGGTGGAAGATTCTATATAGAGAAATGCTGCATGGCAATTTAGAGAGGCCAGCATAAATTTAAATTGTCAAGAAAGTGATTGGCTTACAATCAGCTTATTTGCAGCTTCTTTAATCTTGTCCACTTTGACCTCTGAAAGCCCTTTTACACTGCACAGTGCTCGTCTTGTTGTCATCTGGATTCCTTTGATAGTGCAGATCCCAACTGACTTCAGTTTTTTAATATCTGCCACGTTCTGCAAAGAAAGTTCCTTTCTATGAGTACTTGTGACAGGTAGCAACCAGTTGGCAAATTAAACCTTTGAAACACTTTACTGTACACTCATCTGCATGTATATTTTCATAAAGAAACGTATTTACAAAGTAAACTCTTCCTGATGTAGTTTGTGACACCCAAATATCAGAAAACTTTGAGTCACATCAGTGTGAGGATCAAGGTGCAGGCTATGCTGGGTCTGGCTGTGCTCAGCCTGTCCCTGTTCAGGGCTGGTCTTTCTAGATCCAAGCTAATAGTAAAGAAACAGAACGGATTATTTCAGGTGTTGTAGAGTCTAACCTAAAAAACCCCGTCAAACTCAATCTGTCCTTGTTCCCCTTACACAGATAATCTGTAAACCAGGTAATCTGATCACAGCTGGGAGCTGACTTGCATAGGTGGTAGGATGCTGACTCTAACCTCTGTGACGTTCCTGCATGTTGACAGCAAGTCCAAAGCAAAACACACCTATCCTGCCAGATCCAACAGGCACTTGCATCTGGAATTGGCTTACTAGAGTTTTTAGTTCATTGGATACAGCATGACTTCATTCAGCACCCTGCAGGCGTGTTTTGCCTCCTCCCAACTCACGTTAGAAATCTGATATCACTGGAAATGTAAAGGCAAGGAACAAATAACTCACAAGAAACATACCATGGGAAAGGTCTGGGGGTAATACTGCAATTTACCATCTCCAGCCAAGTTATTTATTTAAAAGAACAAACAAACAAACCACACTATGAGCTGGATGAATCATTTATGTATCTAGTGTGTGGATATAAGAGACTTAAGATGGGAGGGGGGCTATGGAAAGAATTAGTTGTGGTCATTGGGAAGCTTACTTTTCATCCTGTGAGATATTTTTGACTATTACATAAAGAGGGATAGGTGAGGTAAAATCAATCACAAATGGAAATGACACTCACTCAAAAAAGAAAAAAAAAACACCAAAAATCAGTAATTAAAAAACAAAACAAAACAAAACCAATATTGAGTTGTTGTTCATGTAGTGTTTTTCATATTAAGACAATAGACTTCTGCTGCAAAGACCATTTTTCTAGGCCAAAAGTCACTCTTCGACTTCCTCATTTCTCAGTGGCCTTGTCTTATTGATCTCATCAAACTTAGGGCTGCTCCACATTACAATTCCCTGAGCAGCAGATCTGGTCACAGAAGTTCTTCTTCTCTGCTTCCCAGATACATCTTTTACCAATTGTTTGTTTACCAGCCAAAGTGCTAGAATTCTCTTCTAGTTGATACCACGAAGCATTCAGCAGTTGTCCTGGCTGAACACACCGACACAGCTGCCCCCTTACACCACCTGCTTATCCTGACCCTCCCAACCTTTTTGCATAGCATCTCTGCCCTAGTTGTACGCCTCTGAGATGGAAACAGGAACATAGCAAGAATTCAAATGAACAAACAAACAAACTACACAGATCATATTTTTTGTTGTCATGCTTTTTGCATGAATTGATTTACAGATGCAGTTTGCAGTGTGGCTACGACAGATGAAGCAGTAGCACATGCCTGAGGGCAGGAACGCTCAGCAGTGGCACTGGGATCACAGAAACTTGATTCCTATCAAACACTTTAGAACATCAAACCCCAGCCTGGGTTCTGCAAATCTGACTCTTTGTGGCTGTGCTGACACATCTACTAAATACTTTTCTCCCTATCCCTCTGGGGGGAAAAAAATCTAGAACCCTAAAAACTACTTTAAGCAAGTGAAATTAATAGTATAGGTCATCATATGCTCACTGGCACAGATGAGAATAACATCTTCCCCTAAGAAGTAGGAATAAACACTTGGACGGGAGAAGAAAAGTAATAGAAAAGGAGCAGGAGACTTTCAGTAAGCCAGATCTGTCTCCAAAAACAGAATGACGAAGAACAGTCTAAGTCACTACTCTTTATTTCCAAGATTTTCCATAACTTAGCAACATTTGTCTGCATTCTGTGCCTCGTTCGGTATTGACAAGCTTATACAGCTCTCTTCCAGCTCATGAGGTCAGCCTCTTTGGGCTAATTTTAATTTTTTAACATGAGAATTTGTGTATTTTTCTTATGCTATACCGTTGTTAAAGCTCACTACTTCATTATCCTCTCCAGAACTTTGTAAAACCATGGCAATGAGTTGTCAATAAGAAAGTGAACAACAGTTACACTGCTGACATGCTGAGTGCAGTAACTGTAATGCTGGATAACGCTGGCCCATTGTGTCTGTGTCAGCCCTGTCTGTATCCATCTACAGTCGTTTATCTTAAATTACTTCAGCAAACCAAACTTCTTATTCTGCTTTTCTAACACTGAACATTCTGACCCATGAATCAGCCTCCAAGGTAAATATATAATAACAGTAATCCAAGTAAGAAGCTAATGCTTATGTGACAGTAATGTTCATGATGAGAACAATTCATATTTGATGAAAAAACTCTCCACTTACTTCTCCAGCTATTTGCTCACTCCCACTCTACTCCCTTAAACAGCCTTCCAGAAATAATTTAGCAACAACTGCCACAGTGTAATTTCAAGGGAACCAAAAATGCAGGTATAATTACAAAGACTGGCAGGAATAGGAAGTGATCTACTACGTGGTTTTCATATAAGTTAGCAGCTAGTTGGCTTTTCAAGAAGTACTGGGTGCTAAATATTTTGAATATCTTGACACTTTATGTAGGAACCTAGTGAGAACGAGATATTTTGAAAGCCTGTCTTATCACCAAAGGCAAAATTTGTCTTCACATGACTGATTTAGAATTATTTGTGAGGAGAAATTTACATGGACAATGATGTGCAGATAAGTCATTGGCAATACTTACAATCCCATGCTTTTGTAGCAGATCAATGTCCTGAAAAAAGGATTCCTAAAAATAAAATGAAATAAAACAAAAAATTGAAAATAGATTTTTATTTTTCTTAAAATTATATCTAGCTCACTCTGTGCTTCAAATTTGTAAGCCTTGAAATGGTTTTCCCTAATAACACGTCTTGTTGAACTACCAAAATAAGAAAACCCAGAGTAAGCCAAGAATGCCTACACATTTCCTATCACTTTCTTCATCAAATATATCTTCACAGGCAAGTAACTCTCTGCTGTATTAATAAACTTGTGTTAGGATCACGTCTTGACTCTTTCATCCACTGTTCTTCAGCCTTTTCTGGCTGATGACCATTCCCGGAAAGCTTCAAATTAACTGATAATCCTCTGACATTTAATATCGAAGCACGAGATATAAAGCAATAATGATAATTCCATTAAAAACTGTGCATAGCTTTGGAAATGTTAGTGAAGAGCATCTGAAGAACACAACTGTACAGAGAATCTGACAATGAGATTTTCTTGGTGTTAGACTACAACAAAATTTTAAATGAATTGAACTTCCTGTCGGTGGTTTTTGGGGACTTCCTGTCTCTCTGTGGGCTTCAGTACGCTGTAACAATACCTTCAGACATCTGCTGTACCTGTTTTTCAAAGACCCATAAATTTACCTCATCATCCTGGTATCCAGATTCTTCTTGGACTACTTGATCCTCCATGGCCTTCATTGTGAAAGAGCAGGCAATGAAGTATCGATTGGTACTGAGAAATGCAAGCAAAGACAGTACTGAGACCGGAATAAATGTGCAGGTAACTGTAAAAGGACTTTTAAAATGACCTCAAACTGCACAAACTTTAAGTTTGTCATTACATATGGATTTAAACTCAGATTCTGCATCCCTCTCTTTCTCCAAAAGGAGAAAACCTACTGTGTTACTCTCCAGTGAACTAATTTGTCTAGAAAAGGTTTAACTGGTGTTAAGAAAACAGAACTCATTCCCCTGTAAGAATCTTGGGTCCCAGTGCGGGGACATTTTAAATGATTTATCATTAGTAGAATTTATTTCTGTAAGCAGTAGCATTGTCAGATAAAAAGGACAATATTGCCTCTAAGTTATATGAAAGCAGGAAAAATGAACAGTTCCTCATAAATATGATTTCATAACCTGCTGTACCAGTTTTATAATTTTGTAAATTGTTAGGTTGCTTCTGTCTTAACTGTCAGCTTGCCTTCATTGCTCTAGTTTTGTGAAGTGCCTCATCCAGAAGATTGTATATGTTTGCTTACTCATCCTCCTTAATAAAGTCCATGAAAAGAATATGATGTTTTCTGTGAACCTACAAGATGAGCTACATTTAACAGAGGATGAGATAATTTAGAATAAATTGCTGCAAATAGCTTTTTTTTTTTTTTTCCCAGCTTTCAAATAGATACAGAAGGTGTGCATAATTTGTTGACAAGAATCACAGAATCACATGTTCACAGAATCATATCACTTGGAGGGGATCCTTAAAGATCATCTAGTCCAACTCCCCTGCAATGAACAGGGACACCTACAGATAGATCAGGGTGCTCAGAGCCCCTCCAGCCTGACCTTGGATGTCTCCTAGAAGGGGACATCCATCACCTCTCTGGGAAACCTGTTTCAGTGCCTCACCACCCTTGCTGTAAAATGCTTTTTCCTTATAACCAGTCTAAAACTTTTAGTCTGAAACTATTTCTCCATGTCTTATCCCAACAGACCCCGCTAAAGAGTCTGTCCCCTTCTTACAGCCCCCTTTGGATACTGAAAGGCCGCTCTCCACTCTCAGATCTCCCCAGAGCCTTATCTTCTCAAGGCTGAACAGCTCCAGCTCTCCCAGCCTGTCAATCTTGTATATGCAGAAGATGGGAAAAGTGAGAAAGAAAATGTAATTTTAAGATGATCTTATTTGGGTTTTGAAGTGAGTATATGACGCAGTCACTTTTGTTAATATTTAGTGGAAACATTCCTATAAAATTAGCTGTTTCTGATAGTGTCAAGATATGGGTTTTTTTGCATTGCAGCCTTCCTGTATTTAAAAGGGGATTATAAACAGGAGGGGAATCAACTTCTTACTTGGGTAGATAGTGATAGGGCAAGAGGGAATGATTTTAAGCTCAGTGAGGGAAGGTTTCGATTAGATGTCGGGGAATTTCTGCACAGAGAGAGTGGTGAGGCTCTGGCACAGGCTGCCCAGAGGGGCTGTGGGTGCCCCATCCCTGGAGGTGTTCAAAGCCAGGTTGGATGGAGCCTTGGGCAACCTGGTCTTATATTAAATGTGGAGGTTGTTGGCCCTGCCTGTGTCAGGGGGGTTGGAACCTGCACTCTGAGCAGTTTCTCCCTCCTATTCCTCACAGTTCTCCCCCCTATTCCTCACCCTAAGGCAACTGACACCCCCCAGAAGAACCAGGCAGCCTCAAACCTGTGCCTTCCTGCAGACCAGGAGGAACAACAGAGCAATTATACCACACTCTAATTGAAGCTTTAGTGATGAGCCAAATCCTCCTCCAGTTGCTGGTGCAGTGAAGGCTCAGAGCGTTCCTGTCGTCGCAGCCTGCAGAGAACCAGATACAAGGCTGGAAGTGTGCGAACACGGCAAATCCATTAAGAAGTAAGGATCTTTGTGAGGAAATACAACCGTTTTTGGGTGCCCTAGGAGCTATTTGTTGGGTACATGAGCAAAGTCGGCCTGCTGCGCTGCGCTGAGCAGACGTGGGCTGTGTGACAGGCACTCGTCCTGGTCACACCATGCTGGGTTTAACAAACGGTTCGTGAGCTGACAGAAACATTGCAGCCCAGTCGACTGGGGCCGAGCTCGGGCCTCTACTGCAAGCTGAAAAACGCCCTGTTCGCTCCCCCACCCCGTGGATGACCGGCATTACCCGATAGAATCACCACATCCCCGGACCCACCCTCAGCCCCAGCACCGCCCTGAGCGCCTCCTCCTGACGCAGCGCCCCGCCTTTCCCGCCCAGAGAATGAGGCCGATGGCGGAGACTACTCCCTTGCCCTCCCTCCGCAACACAACGCTGAGCGCATGCCCTGCGGGCGCTTGAAAAATCGAGCAGTTTATGTCCGTGCCTGGATCCTGAGTGCCTAAGGCTCAGTCTGCAGAGAGGAACTGGCTGGCACAGCTTTTGAAAACGGCATTATTCCACAAGAGCTGTTCCAGAAGAGCACTTCGGCAGGCAGTCCTTTAGCCTAAAGATGAATCCCTTCACAGAAGCATGCTTTTACTCCAGGACCGAGCGCACATGCTGGGAGTAATCTTTTGGGTGCTGCTAAGTGGCCCCACAACAGCTAATGCATGTGTAAACAGACTGCTGAGCAGGTTGCCCAAAGTAGTGCTGGATCCCCATCCCTGGGGACATCCAAGGTCAGGCTGGAGGGGCTCTGAGCACCCTGATTGAGCTGTGGGTGCCCCTGTTCATTGCAGGGGAGTTGGACCGGATGGCCTTTGAGGATTCCTTCCAATTCAAACAATTCTATGATTCCCTCACATTTCCTCTTCTTGGAAAAGCCAATGAACGCACAGAGTCTGAAGACCATCTTCCAATCCGAAGTGCAATTTTGGATAACAGATTCCCCTCAACATCCTCAAAGAGCTGGGATCACTAACTGTTCACCTGACTCCCAGCAGATGTTAAAGAATCACAGAATCATTTCAGTTGGAAAAGACCTCTAATTTCATCTAGTCCAGCCGTGAGCCCATCCCCACCATGCCCACTAACCATGTCCCTCAGAGCCACGTCCACACGGCTCTGGAACACCTCCAGGGACAGCTGGTGCCACTGCAGCACCGCTTTTCCTGGGAAGAAATGCTTCCTAATGTTCAGGCTGAACCTCCCCTGGTGCAACTTGAGGCCATTCCCTCTCATCCTGTCCCTGTTACCTGGGAGAAGAGGCTGACCCCCACCTCATCACAACCTTCTTTCAAATCACTGTAGAGAGCAATAAGGTCTCCTCTGAGCCTCCTCTTCTCCAGACTGAACATCCCCAGTTCCCTCAGCTGCTCCCCATCAGACCCGTGCTCCAGACCCCTCAGAGCTCTGCTGCCCTTCTCTGGACACACTCCAGGGCCTCCATGTCTTTCTTACAGTCAGGGGCCCAGAACTGAGCACAGCACTCGAGGTGCAGCCTCACCAGAGCTGAGTACAGAGATACAGTCACCTCCCTGCTCCTGCTGGCTGCACTATTGCTGATACAAGCCAGGATGCCATTGGCCTTCTTGGCCACCTGGGCACAATGGTTTCACGTTCAGCTGGCTGTCAACTAACATCCCCAGATCCTTTTCCTCCATACCCGCATAGCTTTCAAGCCACTCAGCCTCAAGCCTGTAGCGATCCATGGGGTTGCTGTGAACGAAGCTCAAGACTCCACACATGATCTTATTGAAGCTCATACAGTTGGCCTCAGTCCATTGATCCAGCCTGCCCAGATTCCACTGTAAGGCCTTCCTACCCTCAGGCAGATTGACACTTCCTCCCAGCTTGGTGTTATCTGCAAACCTACTGAGGGGGCACTCAGTCCAATGCAATGACTCCACACACTCCATCACCTAACACGGCAGGCTTGCTTGCCATGAGCATTCCCATCGCATCCCATTATTGCCATCCTCACCGTGAACCTACAGCTGGGTGTTGGTGAGGTGTCATCTGCATTTCCTTTCATTTGAGATTGTTCCAGCTCCAACAAGGCAAAACTCAAGTTAAACCACTGCCACAAAATACATAAAAAATATTCAGCTGATTTTGTCATCTTAAACAATGTTTTCATCCATGGTTACAGGGGGGAAATAATGTGGTTCTTATACTGCTTGCTTCTGTGTTTTATTTAGGTCTATACAGATCAAATTCATAGAGTCAAATATATAAACAAATGCCCTTTCTGAACTTTCAGGCTTGCAGTATGCCTGTACCTACACAGGACAGAATAATCTGATATTTGGCCTTGCAGAATATAACCCAGGAAGATTCAGCCTCCCGAGGAAATGATGGATTACATGTCTGTGCCATTAATATTAAAGAGATGCCAGGTGAATGCAGGGCCACATCAGGATGGATGTGACTGGAGAAGAAAAGATGCCAGAGACAATTTATTCATTAAAGCAAACAAACAAACGCAGATGAGTGAACACATGCAGTTACTTTTCTGCATCAAGAAGAAATAATCTTTAAGTATATGAACTATATAAAGACATTAGATGATAACAGTCTAAGCACTAAAGCTTCCTTTTCTTTGTAATGATTTCAAAATCTTATTATAAAATGGATAATTCTTAATATGTGATAAAGGATGTCATGAAAAAATAAGTATAAAAGGAAGACTAGAAGAAAGGAGGCCACTTTTAAGTTTTGCAAAACCTAATCCCAGTTAACAGCCTTTCTGGAGACATGCACCAATTTATCATATGCAGAGTCCATCAAAAAGACAGAATACTTAAGTAAAGCTTTCCCTTTTGAAAATGAGTACTTTTAAGATATGAAAAGCAAACCAGTAAAAGGCAACAATAGGGCTGAAAGGGTCAAGAAGAGATTATCTAGTTCAAAGCTGAATCAACTGAACTGGGAGGATGTTTGCTTGCCTGGGGAAACTGGACTTTGTTTTACTAGACGGTTGTGAGGGTTCTTTTGGAGAAAGAACCAGACAATTTCTGGTCCTGGCTTCTGGTTTCTGACTATTCTTGCCATCACCCCTGAACTCCATCTTTCACTTGGTAATGCCATTTTGTTTGTAAAAGTGTGCTATATACTTTAAGCTAACTTCTAGTTTTAAAAGATCAAACAACCGTGACTAATTCTTGCATTCTTGTGTCTTCTACTGCAAAAGAAACAAAATGCCAGCACAGCCAGCTCTAAAATAATTGCTCCATACTGATGCATTAGTGTGCACAGCTTGCTCTTAACCTGCTCTCCTCTTCTGGGGCTACAACATTGTAACCACGTAGTTCTCTAGTATTGCCATTCCCAGTATTACAGTGAATTTCTAAGGCCTCAGGGCTGAGGCTTGTCAGGCTTGCTTTCTCTGAGCTTCGCTTGACCCTTCCGTAACCTCGTTTTACTCAGTTAGCTGGGGTAGCAGCTTCTATAAATGACCAGGTGTCTCTGGCTAATTTGTCTTACTTCTGTTTATCTGTGTTGTACAGCCATTCTTTCATTAAAAATAAAAATTAAAAAAAAAAAAAAAAGCAGTAACAAATGGTTATTATGTAGAATGAGAGATTTACAGCTAGCACAGGGATGTAGTGTAGAGAAACACAGGCCTGGTGCGACAGCAGAGACCTTAAGAACAGTGGACATGATGTGGTATAGAGGAGCACAGGCAAGTGATGATAACAGGCAGGACATGGGCTCGACAAAAGGAACTTGATGGCTATAAAGAGCTCATCAGTGATAAAATAAGTGCAAATCTGGAGCTGCCCAGCTGGTTTTAGGCTAACAAAGAAATAGTATCTAATATATGTCATGTGCACCACGCATAGCAAAATCAGGCGTAACATGGAGATGCAGACCAGAGAGTAAGGGTATAAATGCATGCTAGCAAACATAAAAAGGACACCAGGTGAATCCTTGAGTGAGGAAGAAACCACCAACATGAACATCATATTCCTCCCAGTGAAGGACTCCAGATACTGACAGCTCTTTAGCACTTCTCCCACAAGTACCAGAATGAAACCACCAACCTTACAACCCACAGAAGTAGTGGAAGGGAGAGTGAAATACAGAGAAAAGGAGCAGAAACCAAGAACCGTGTGCGTGTGCTTCAGTTTTATAGAAGTATTCTCACTGCATCATTATTCTTTCCCTTTTTCTAAGTTATATCTGGGTCAGTAAACATTACACCTTTTCTATTTTACTAACAATACATTCTTGGCTTTACATATGCATGATGTTGTCTGCAAAGGAGATTCATTACTTGGTGTGCAATGAGCCAATTCCCACACACTCAGGAGAGATATTTCTTTTTGTTCAGACCTGGGTGCTCCAAGGAAGTTTCCACCAACCAAACACAACAGTGCCATTTTCTTCACTGTGTTCATACATTAAATGCACATGCACTCTGCCTATGCAATACAGAACGCCTACTACCTATATATTCATAAGGTTAGACAAGCACAATACTCAATCTACATGAAACTTAAGATTTCTATTACAGTAACAATAGGTTATCAGCTTTACATACACACAGTTCTGCACACACACAAACACACACACACACTGAATTGCTCTAACAAAATGCAGTTGGGGAAATATGTTACTCTGAATCATGAAAACTAATTTGGGAGACACGGGTCTTTATAACACTAGGAGAGCTTTCTAAACAGCTTCAGCAAATTCCAAAATAACTGTTCTTATCTAACTCCACACACACAGATCTTTGTTCTGGAGAAAGTGCATGTTGTTCTACATTGATTCAATCAACTTTATAAAGCTTATGGAAAAGATAACCAGGGAAAGCAGACTGATTATGGAATAAAACTGCCCACATAGGTAGCTAGGGGG